GGAAGGTTTGCTTTGATTTCCAGAAAAAAAAAGAAAAAACATTTCCATACTTTTTATTTGACTACTGCGTGCCAATAAAACAAGGAAACCTTTGAATTCTCCCCAGAATTTCATCTGGCTACACAAAAAAGCACTGTATAGCAGATTGCCAGTTCACGCAGGACATGAAGGCAGCCTGGAAAATGCAATGTATCCATATTTACTTTCCTTGCTAAATAGCATGCCAAATTGTCACTTAAGCCCCTTAAAAGATGACAGCTCAACCTTCTTTGGCTATTTATTTGGAATGCCATTGTTCCTTATTACTTCAAAAGTGGTCTAATACCTGAATTTTAAAACAAGAAAAGGACTATTGAATTCACAAATTTAAATCCTTTTTCAACCAATATAAAGAGCATCTGAAAGAAAGTAATCCAGTAGAAGAAGTCATCTATCATAAAGTTTCTTATGAGCCTTTTATTGCTCCGTACAAGATAAGAACTGAGAATGAGATTTGCTCATCACCCACTCTTTAGCAAGCTAACAACACTTAATCTGTCTTAATCTCCCAGATTTAAGACTGCAGGATAAGATGGAGGGGAACCTTATTTTCTTTTTATGATGTGTCCAATGTAAGTGTCAGAGAATCAGCATTTTTCTAGAACTAGCACTTGCGGAGATGATCTAGTTCTGGGACTCAGAACTCAGTCAATGACTGAGAAGGATCATTGACTTTTATTTTAATTTATATGGTAGACTTTCCACCTCAAAAAGTTGCATCTCAAGTTGCCCTTGAAGGGTTTAGTTTACTGTTCACTTACAAAACCGTTTTATCCTTCTCTTCTTTTACTGACCCTCTTTACATTTTATAACAAACCATTACTTCCTGAACTATGGTTATTGAATAAACCATAATAGGTGGGATTTAGACATGCTAACTCATAAATCATGGTTTAGAAATCAGGTTGGCTGGATTCATGTAGCATACTAGTGCAAAACCAAGCACCATAACATCATATACAGTTCTAATCCAGTTAAGTGTGCATTCTGTTCTGCAGCTAACATATTAACATAACCACCATAGTCATAATCCAAAGTGAGATTACCCCAGAACATGGTTGAAGTTGCACATAACTAAGTCTTTCAAAATAACCTAAATGGACATTCCCCTTATCTCGAGGTACACTGCTACGGTTTCTATTTATTTATTTATTGAAAAATAGTTACAGTACTTTTTGAAGGTAAGATCATTTCCGTTAACGATGGGAGAGGAGCTTTTATTTGGAATAAAGCACTTAGAAGATATTCAATTCTTAAAAATATCTTTTATGGGCTCTGATACTGTTGGATATTAGCTACTGTACATACCAAAGTGAATAGAAGCTGGAGGAATAAGAGAGATTAACTAGCCCCAAACTATCAAAAGGAGAAACAATTTGCTTTCAAGTTGATTCTAAATAGCCCTGTCTACCCCTTAAGGCATATGTTTTATAAATATTGGTAGGCTTATAAATGGGAGTATCAAGATATTATTCCCTCCTGAGCTGGCAATTAATCATGAAGAGGCAGCTAGGGTCTGGAACATAAGACAACATAAAAACACCTGCACTTCCCTTGCAGAGCTCCTGTTCCATAGCATAATATCTAATTTTACGGCTATATTCCAATGACCTTGCTGAACTAACAAAACACTCTTTTGCCCCTGTATTTGCATAACATGTAGCTGTACCTAAACTTGGAGTGGAGGCACAGACCCATGCAAGCACCAGATAACCTTTCCCTTATCTTCCATACCTTGGAGCAATGAGGAGACATGTCACAAGTCTAACCATTTGTCTCCTTGCTCTGGAGGCCCATTGCTTATCTCCTCTCCCAGCAAGCCTAGGTAGATGCTCACAAGGGATAGCATTCAGGACAGGTAGTCCTTGACTTATGACTACAATGGAGCCCAAAACCTATATCGCTCAGTGAGTTTGGCCCCATTTTACAACTTTTCTTGCTAAATGAATCATTGCAGTTGTTAAGTTAGTAACACACCTGTGAAGTGAATCTGTTTTCCCCATTGACTTTGTCAGAAGATCGCAATAGAGCAGCGGTTCTCAACCTTTTTATACGGCGACCCCCGGTCACACAGACGTGGCGCGCATGGGCGGCGCTGCTCCGAGGGGGAAAAATGGCGGACTGCGTTGTTTGGCGACCCCCGTAAAATGGTCATTCGACTCCAAATGGGGTCGCGACCCATAGGTTGAGAACCGCTGCAATAGAGGATCACGTGATCCCGGGACTCTGCGCCTGTCATAAATGTGAGTCAGTGGTTAAGCGTCTGAATATAAATCACGTGACCCTGGGCATGCTGCAACGGTCGTAAGTATGAAAAACGGCCGTAAGTCGCTTTTTTCAGTGCTGTTGCAACTTTTGAACTGTCATTAAATGAACTGTTGTGAGCCGAGCACTACCTGTACTAGCTGAGCACTAGGCTCTAGTCCAGGGGTGTCCAATCTTGGTGACTTTAAGACACATGGACTTCAACTTATTTATTTATTTATTTATGAGACTTATATACCGCTTTAAGTGCAAGCACTCTCTAAGCGGTGTACACCAGTAAGCAATGTATATATATATTTACATTGCCCCCAACAATCTGGGTCCTCATTTTACCTACCCCGGAAGGATGGAAGGCTGAGTCAACCTTGAGCCAGTGAGATTTGAATCATTGATCTGCTGAACACAGTCAGCTAAAGTGGCCTGCAGTACTGCACTCTTAACTGCTACGCCACCTCGGCTCAAACTTCCAGAATTCTAGCTGAGGAATTACAGACCTGTGGATTTCAACTCCCTTAGCTGGCTGGGGAATTCTGGGAGTTGAAGTCCACAGCTCTTAAAAATTGTCAAGGTTAGACAGCCCTGCTCTAGTCCACAGGAGATGATATCATGGTCCACTCTTAAGGATGCTGCTCGAAGACCATTCCCTGCCCACCAGCCAACAATGAAGGAAGGAACAGACTTGATATCCAACCACTCCAGAAGAAATCAGCATAGGGAAGCCTCTTCAAGCCAATTTACAAATAGCACCTCTATCTTGTAAACAACCCTCTTCCAAATCCTTCCCACCTCATCAAATAACAGGTGGTCAGTATGCCCCAAAGTCCATTTGTTGGGTTAAGACTAACAACATAAGACAAACAGCAGCAGTTTGGCATGGTGGAGCCTGGCAATACATTTGTTTTCCTGGAAAGAGCTTCAGCAATGAGCAGCGTCTCTGCCCTCATCAGCCTTAGTTTGGGAGTTGGGAAGATGGGGGTTCCTGGGCTCCCCAGTTCCTTCAATTCACTCCTGCCATATGAAAAAGGCAGCTTGATGAGCACAGATAGTCCTCGACTTACCACCATAACTGCGCCCCAAATTTCTTTTTTTAAGTGGGAGGTCATATAACACCGAGACACAGTATGAACCAATCGCCAAGTATCTGAATTTCGATCACACGGATCGAATGCTGCAAAGGTCGTAACTGCGAAAAAATGGTTACACTGGTCATTTTTTTCAGCGCTGTTGTAACTCTGAACGGCCACTAAATGAACTGTTGTAAGTCGAGGACTAACTGTAACAGATCTCTAAACTACCTGGCCTTATCAATGAATCCAAATCCATTGCTGCTTGCACAGCGCCAGCCTTGCCCCAAAGGTGCGTTGTTGTTTTTCTCCTCCAAAAGACACCTGGATTTTCTTGAAGACTTTCTTTCAAGAAGCTTCTTCAGTTGTGAACCAAGCTGAGAACTGAGGAAGCTTCTTAGATGAGAAGCAAAAGAAAAGAGACAAGAAAATTCATTGCCTTTTGAAAGAAAGGGGGAAAAAATAAAATAAAAGCACCTTTGGGACAACCTGCAAGATTGAGAATCTCCATAATAGACAGTGCAGCTTAAGCTCTGCTGGGCTACAGAATGCTTGCCAGCTGGGGATTCTAGGTGCTGCAATCCACGGAGGGTACCCGAATGAAGAAAAGGGGGTTACATAGCTCCATCTGTGTGTTTGGCACACCACAAAATTCCATCACAAAACGAAACAAAACCCGTTCTGGGTACTGGAGGAGCCTACAATGCCAATTTCAGAAGTGGAGGAAAAATAGCAAGGAAGACCAGTCAAGGAAGGAGCAGATTTCTCCTTTGGGAGGCAGAAAGTCAACCGTCAAAGGCACCATAGTTCCAAACATGGCTGTGTTTAAAATCCGAAGCCACCACTGAGGTCCCGAATAGATCTGAAGTCCCCCAGACACGAGTTAAGGGTCCCTTAAGAGTATATCTCAGAGGACACCATCCCCCCTCCCTTAATTTCAGGTATTTCCACCACTAGCTTGGAGTCCAGAAGAGAAATCCAGCCGCTCTCCAGCTTGGAGCGCCCGGCGGCAGTTTAGCAAAGCCACCGACCCCTGGCTCGCGGAACCCAAGCACGTCTGGATGTGTGTACACGCGGACCTCGATGCCGGCTTCTTCTCCTGCGTGCGGGCGGACACGAGCCACTGCAGCACACCAAAAGGAATTGCGGCCGACACCCACGCCGCCCCCCCCCTCCCACGGCTTCGGCAGTCAAGACCCCCACCGACCCACCTCTACAAGCCCCGCCACCCTTTCCTTCTGCCCCCGCACATCCGTCCCTCCGCGGGCCTCCGGCCGTCTCTTTCCCCCCTCTCGCACCGCCGGTTTCCGAGCGCACCCCCCCCCCCACGCAAGCCGTTGCACTGCCAGGCGCCAAACGCCGGGGGCGATGGAGAACCCCGGCTCAGCTGAATACCAGCGGGAACTTGGCCAATTGCACTCGCCGCGGCCACCCCCACCCCCCCCAGCATTTTTTTTCCCCGGGGAAAAGCTACCCCCAAACGGGGACCGGGACCCCGGGAGGGCTCCCCGGCCGGGTCCGAGGTCCGGGAGGCAACGGCGGCGCCTGGAGGGACCCCCCCTCGGAAAAGGCAAAAGTTTGGGCGAAACTTTCTCTCTCCTGCCCCGGGCGAGCGAGCAGCGTCCAACTTACCGCTCGGGCGGGCGGGGGAGGGGGCTCTCTCCGGCGCAGGCGAGCCTTTGAGGGGGGCAGACCGTCGCCCCCCCCTCCGAGGCCGGCGGCCCCAGGTGTCCCCCGCAGGTCCGGCCGGGACAAGAGCGAGTCCGCCGCCGCCGCTGGGAAACAATAGCCGAGCCACGCGCGCTCCTCCTCCTCCTCCTCGGCTCGGCTCGGCTCAGAGTCCGGGCTCCATCAGCGGCGGCGCCGTCCCGCCGAGAGCGCTGGCGAAGGCAGCCCAGCAGGCAGCGGCTGCAACTCCGCCTTCCAAGCGGCCGGAGGAGGAAGGGAGAGCGGCCGGGGCAGGCAGGTGGCGCGGGAGAAGCGAGCTCGGAGGCGGCCACGGACGGGGCGCTCCGGAAGGGCTCTCCGGCGCGCGCTTCCCGGGCACAGAGCGAGGGAGCGCGGCGTCTTCTTCTTCTTCTTTCTCGCGTTCCGCAGAGCGGCCGGTGCTGGCGGCGACTAGCTCGGGCGCTCGCCCAGTCCGGCAGCGGAGAGCAGCCGGGGGAGTGAGTCACTCCCACCCCGCCCGCCCGGCCCCGCCCCGTCCGCCCGCCAGCCAGCCCGCCCCTCCTGCTGGGGTCTTCGGCGTCCCGGGAGCTCCGGCGCTGCTCTCCCGCCGCGGCGCCTGCTGCTGCTGCTCGCTGGCCGGCAGAGGAGCGGGCAAAGGCGAGCTCGGGTGGGCGTTGCGGGGAGGCCGGCCGAACCCAGCCGCCCCGGGCTGCCTGCGACCCGCGCGGCGCCGCACCACGACGCCGGCCCGCCGAGCTGCTGGGGTTGTGCGGAGGCAGAAGAAAGCCGGGGGGGGGGGGTTTCTCGGCTTGCCAAGCTGGCTGGCCTTGCAGCCCCCGTCAGACCTCAATGGGAAGAGAGGGTGTGTGTGTGTGTGTGTGTTCTGCCTTGAATCCCTGCTGGATTCCTGAGTACAGGTAGTCCTCGACTTACAGTGGTTCATTCAGTGATCTCAATGACCATTTCTCACCCTAAGGACCGTGGCAGCATCCCCGGGGTCACGTGATTTCCTTATTCAGATGCTTGACAACCAGCTCGCATTTATGACGGATGCGGTGTCTTGGGGCCGTGTGATTCTCTTAGATGATTTTTCTGACAACGGGGAAGCCAGATTTCACTGGATAACCGTGTTACTAATTTAACCGCTGCAGTGATTTGCTTAACAAACAAACATGGCGAGAGAAGTCGTAAAATGGGGCAAAGCTCACTTAACCAATTTCTTCTTTAGCAACATGAATTCTGGGCTCGGTTGTGGTTGTAAACCGAGGACTACCGGTACTTGCTTGCTCTCGCATCTGTCCCTTTCTCTAAGCCGGGAGAGTTCAGGCTGGAGTTGGGGGCCTCCGCAGGGTGGTGAATGACTGAGAAAGGAGTCAGGGTTGTGGGGTATTTTGCTTTCTTTTTTTAAAAAAAATAATAATCTGATCATGCCCCTGCAGGGAAAATGGGAATGTGATCCGAATTTGCTGGCATTTGCTTTTAGCTGTGCCCCTGCATTCCTGGCAGAGTGGAGGGCTGTGGCCCTGGAAAGTGACCGCCTGGGATATACAGATTAAAGGGTACAGGAATGATTTTAAAATGCAGCATCTTTATTTCTTCCCCTGTTCCAATCCCAGTGAAATCTTCCAGGTTATTCACATGGGGGGGGGGTGTCACACAACTTCATGTATCCTTGTAGGGAATTGTTCTACAGCAAAGTTTGAAATCCTGGCCTCTTTAAGCCAGAGTCTGCTTAGCTAAAGTTGTACTTGCATAAGACTCTTATACAAGACTCCTATACATTGCAACTGGGAAAACCATGGCCTTGATTATACCAACAAAAGTGCGTATAGTCCAGGCCATGGTTTTCCCAGTTGCAATGTATGGCTGTGAAAGTTGGACTATAAGAAAGGCTGAGTGCCAAAGAATGGAGGCCTTTGAACTCTGGTGCTGGAGAAGACTCCTGCGAGTCCCTTGGACTGCAAGGCGTTCAAATTGGTCAGTCCTAGAGGAGATCAACCCTGACTGCTCTTTAGAAGGCCAGATCCTGAAGTTGAAACTCAAGTACTTCGGCCACCTAATGAGAAGGAAGGGCTCGTTGGAGAAGGGCCTAATGCTGAAAAAAGATGGAGGGCTAGCATCACCACCCCAGCTCCACCTAAGATCATCAGACATTTGATGCTCAGAGGAGCACAAACCCTACTGTAAACTGTGCATGCAATGGATCTAGGTTGTGCATTCTTCCTCATCCCCTCCCAGAGTCCACGGAAAAGGTATCTTCCATGAAACCAGTCCCTGATGCCAAAAAGGTTGGGGACCACTGGCCTAAACCATCTTTTCAATAACTCATTTTAGATTTATCAGAAACTACGCCTAAAAAGGCATCCAAATCCCTAATGAGACAAATTGGCTTACTCAACTCACAAAATCTTTGCTTTCTTTGGTTTTGGTTAACGCTGTGCAAACTCAAGTAATTATGGCTTATTCAGCAAAGCAGGTTAAGCACGCTGGCATAGTAATGGTTACTATGCCAGCGTGAATGAGCCACAACTAACTGAATGAGCCACGACTAACTGAATTCACACTTTAGAATGGAAGGAACAGAATAGAATAGAATAGAATAGAATAGAATAGAATAGAATAGAATAGAATAGAACCGAACCTTTATTGTCACTTTAAATGTATACTAATCAGCATACATTAAATGAAATTTTGTTGCATTCAGTTCTCAAAAAAATACCATTATGCAAACACCAGTCTAGTTCGAATGTATACATACAAGTTCAAATGTATATGTATACATATACTTTGTCATCATGTGGTTATTAGGTTTGGTGTTATGTTAAATTAGAGCAGTTGTGAGCCTGATCAACATGCTCTGGAATAACATAGAACACAGAATAATAGGCTTGGAATGGATCTTGGATATCAGGGAATTGCACAGCAGGTGTCCAAATGAAGTTAGAGATGCGGACACGAACTTGTGGTCTTTATATAAATAAATATATTTAACTTATGCATTTACAGCAGACAAGACAAGGAACACCATGAGGTAAATCATAGACAGCATACAGAGCACACAGAAGAAAAAGGCGGGAAAAACAGAAATTCCCTCTTTACAACCACAGCAACCTATCATAGCATAGATTGCCTCATGCAGAGCCAGCAGTCTCCAGTCAATCAACTACCACTGTGTGTTCTGGCCCATTGTACACTTTACTGTTCCAACTACTAAATTTAAATATCTTAATATTGGAGGTCTTCTAGTCCACCTCCTGTTCAAGCAGGAGACAAAGGGTGTGCTTCAACCATTCTTCCAATTTCTATATCTTTTTGGGTCTGCCAATACTGTACTCCTCTTTCTCTGTCTCTCAAAGTGTGCTACACAATAGCTTGTTTAAACTATGGTTTGACTAAACCACAGGACTTCACACCCATGCTACTAAACCACAGAATGAGGGAATCTGTACAAATCTGTACAAATCCACAATCTGGATTCCTAAATACATTAACAGACACATGCCTCAATCAAGTTTACCAAATTGTGTGATAAGCACACAACTTGGCTCATTTTCTTTTTAATTTTTGACTACCGAACGTGTTTAAGGACCTTGCAAAGTTGCACAGTGCTCCTGACATCTTATTTTCTTCAAAATGCCCTCTAGGGAATAAAAGGAAAAAAAACAGGAAGGTAGCAAGAAGCAGAAAAGCCCTCTGTTAATTGTTGTTTTTGTTGGGAAGCCGAGTTGCGCTGAATCTGGAGGCACCCCAGGCAAGAGATGCTGGCTTTTTGCCTGCTAAGCTAAGCACTTGCCCAAAGTTTAGGATGAAGTTTTCATCACGGAAAATTACTGTACAGGAACAAGTTGGCAGAGCTTGGATCCCTTGAGAATCACTGCTATCAAAGATGGATAGACAAAGACGTTCCCAGCCAGTTTTCCTAAATTCAGGCAGTACGCAACTTTCTGTTCTCTCCAATAGAAGATAATATTTGTAGTCCAAGGTTGAACTGTGGGATCTCTGGTTCTTCCCAATCAAGGAACTATCAACTCAAACAGTCAATAGTAAACAACAGCCTAATCAAGAAACTACCAAGAACTGCCCCATCAAAACTGATAGGTCAAGCCATTTGTATATAAACAGAGAACAAACCTCACTTCCTTCTAGCATTGATAATGTTACCTAGTTGGATAATGGAACATCTGCAAGAAAACAACCAAGTTCAGAGAGCACCAAAGACCTGTCTGTTCTCTCCCTTAATCCCAAGAGTATGGAGATTGGGTCATAGCCAAAGAAAGGCATGTTGCAAGTCCTCAAAGACCCCCCCCTTTTTATTACCATTTTGCTTTCATCACCTCAGTTCCAGCACTGAAGGAAAAAAAAACCCCCAAGTTTCTAGACCTAGTCTGCAGAATCCTGCTAAGCATTTGTCTGGTGAGATTGGACTCGTAATACAGTGCAATTCTGTGGGACTTGTTTTTCTCTAAGAATTGACACATTGCACTAAGGTAGGGCTTGGGTCAACAAAACTTATTAAATAAACCATAACTAGATAAGCCAGAAAGTGCTAAGCTATAAATCATGATTTGCAAGCCACTATGCTTAGCTTCCCACTGTCAAACCCACATGAGGGCTTAACGCAGTGGTTCTCAACCTGTGGGTTGGGACCCCATTTGGGTTCGAACGACCATTTCACGGGGATCACCAAACAACACAGTCCGCCATTTTTTCCCCCTTTTCCTTAGCTGTGCTACTCCCTTTTATTCTATTGGCTTTTGAAAGCCAATAGAATAGACTCTCTTGAATAGAGTCTAATTCTATTGGCTTTCAAAAGCCAATAGGAATTGTCCAGGCTGTCTCTGCCCTGCTGAGCCCGCCAAAAGTCCCATTCTGCAAACGGTGCTGCACCAGTTGAGTAGTCCTCGACTTACGACCGGTTGAGTAGTCCTTGACTTACGACCGGTTGGGGGTCGCAGCATTAAAAAGGTTGAGAACCACTGGCTTAACACTTTGTGAAAGTACAATCAATGCTCAAACTTCAGGGTGTATCGAAACTCCTAACTTCTCCTGTCCCTCTGATGGAATCACTTGAATTTCTGTTGGCTATACAGCTCTTAAAACACAACAGAAAGGAAAGCAGCAGAAATGTTGTCCTATGTTGTCCTGTCCTTCTTGCATCCAAAAATAGTTCCCCATTAGGAATTCCTTAGCTGATATCTATCACACTCGACCAATGATTGGGTAGAGGAAGTAGATGGTTAAAAGGGGTCGCTGAGCCAAGACTGCAGTTTCTTTTCTGGCACGCTGTACCGTAGTGCCTTTCTTCCATTTAAAATGTAAAATCAATAGTTGTAAATCAGATGAGCTAGCTATAAAAGCTGACTCTGATAACTTCCCATCTTTAAACAGTGAGGACCCATGCGCAGTTTGGTTTTCTCTGCTTGTCTAGTGTTTAATGAACCCTACAGCCATACTGGAGGAAATGCAGGGTTTAATATTTGGTGAGTTGTTTGCTCAAA